TATAGTTTCTTAAATAATTATCTTTAAATTCTTGTTCTTGAGCCAAGCAAAAGCTAAAGCTAAAGCCCGGAAGAATGAATTCATTTGGCGTGAAAAATGCCAAACTCGGCATTGTCTCTTCGCAAAACTAGTCACCCTTGGTACATTACGTTTTTTTAATGGCGCTTAACGCCTCAATATTTTCATAGACAAACAATCCGTGATTGAATGCTTCATTGGATGGATACCAGGTTGCTGGCATGCTTGACTAATAAAAATAAAACTGTTACTTTATTCGTATTATTTATAATATATTTATTTATCTTAGTTTAAATTCATACAAAGAAAATAATAATTTTATTTATGGAAATCTGTGCAGTTTTCATTGAGAAAAAACGGAAGAGTATTTTCTAACATATTTTTTTGTAATAGAAAATCACTTTAAAATCGAACAAATTTTTATAAATTTTTTTCAAAAAATCTCATATAAGGTAGATGCTTCGAGGGCATTCTGATTTTCGATGAGATTGCTGGCGTTTTTTATCCAAAAATTTCCAAACTTAAAGACTAATATATGGAGAACTATACTGTAACGATGTAAAGTTAAGTGAAAAAAGTTACTTAAAATATTCAAATTAACCAAAATGCAATGGATACTAAATCGAAGTTTTGTCGAAATATTTAATTCATTTTTAATATATTAAAAATAAAAAAAAATATAACTACTAACTTTATTATTATTACGTGTATTATATTGAAGCTATTTGAGCCAGTGCACTTGAGCACTTTTACAATCTATTATGACCTCAGATATGCATACCTCCCCGAGGAGCCTGCATACCTTCCCGAGGAGCGATTCTGAGATTCGATAACGCGGTGTTGGTAAGTCTGTCTGTCTAACTTTATTAAGCATATTAATCGATTAACTCAATCAGAAGAGTGCAATGATTAGCAATTAAGTTTTTATACAAACTTTTATCTTCTTCTATCGATGAAACTAAGATAAGTTCTTGCACACAACCTATGTCTTTGACGACAATTTCTCTAAACTAGTTGACCTAACGACTCGTTGCTGATTTTTGATCTGATAAACCATCTTCTTCAGGTGCGACAAGTCAGTTCAATATTTTTTCAAACTTACTTATTGCCACTTCTCTATCTGACACTTTAAACACCTTTTTCTGAAACATCGTTTTTCATACTCACGAACTGACCAACCAGCAAAAGCGATTAATTCATTTTAAATGGATATGGATATCCTTACATTATTGATATCATTGTTATTAAAGAGATAATCTGTTATCACATATTCTTGTGAAGCAGTAGATAATAATTAGAAACAAAGTTATAAAGCAATATTGTTCGTGAGAAATTACTCTGGTTAAAATCTTCATTCTTTACTTGTATAAAAGTTACAATGACTCTTTGTATCAAGAAAATATATTTATGATGCGCAAAAGTGTCAGTTTTTTGGATACTTTTAAATGATCTGTTATTTTAACGGAAAATGAGTAGCTGGTTAGACTCGGCACCTTTTCGAAAGACCCACACATATCAATTCTATAATTATTTCTTGCGAGTGTCCAACAGGAAAACGAATTCCTGCAACGAGGCCAAAGGATTTTTAATTCAGCAGCGAAATTAAGTCGGCATCACCTTAATGCTCAAAAGCTACAACATAAGATTTAATCTTTAGAAACATGATAGAAGTACATTGGTTTTGGACAGTGGACTGTAGGGTGGCATGGAACGAAGGTAAGACTGCCCTATTTAACTCCTATAGATTTTGTTGTCTAGTAATTGTGAACGATATACTAGAATATATGTTATGACACCGGTCAGCACATGATCCAAATGGAACCAGTATTCTTTAACTCAATTCCTAATGTTACTAATATGGAAGTGAACCAAATACTTAATTTCATAAATTCATCTAATACAATATAATACTCCTAAACCTCTACAAAATTTTGAAGATTGAAATCTAATTAATTGAATCAGGTTTTGATCTACTTTCACTTCATCTTTCTGGTTTTCCTGTCTGTAAACAGAGATACTATAAAGTTTTTAACTGTTGTATTAAGAAAGCATGTAGCACTTTCTCAATATACAAAACTATGACGGAAATTTTTTTTGAATTGAATCAAAATATTTGCACACAATTTGAAATTGATTTTATTATATGGATCTAAATCATAAATGGCAATTTACTAAATATATAACTGCTTAATAAATATAATACAGTCGAAAAAGAGATTAACTAACTATGCCGAGAATAACAAGTTCTCTAATGTTTTTTCTCAGGGTACATTCGCTTAGACCCTACAAGGAAACCGAGAAAGAGGTACATCAGCTCTATGTCTTACAAACGAACTATGGTATACACACTGAATTCATCTCCAACAATCTATGTATTCGTCTTATAATCTTCGTTTTTCCTACTTTTTATAGGTCTTTTCGGGTTATCACAACAAATATTTTTCTATAGCTGGAAAATTGTTTAGCAAGTTAACACGAAATATAAATTATTGGAAAACTTTTCTTAAATCCATTAACTTTTTTCTAACTACCTATGCTTCCATATTATATAAGAAATGAATCAAAATAGTAACTAATCTTAGTCACTATTATCAAAATTTTTAAAAAAATAATCATCAATATATAGTTTAATTTTTATAAAAAAAAATGTATATAGTTAATAATAGTAACTATTGTAACTTTTATATGGAAATAATACAATCAATATTTTATTATGTAGTTTTTTATTTTTATTGTAACTTTGGAGTGATTTTCACAATATTATCTCTTATATTATTTATTTAATATTGTTTACTTAATAATAATTTTTGTTGTATTTTTAAAATTTCTATATTTCTATATTTTTAAAGTGAAATTTTTATTTTAATTTCGCTGATTTAAAGTTTAAATATATTAATTATCTGCATTCGTATATATATCATATATTGATCTGCTTAATGTTCTTAAAGTGAAATGGCTAGAAATATTAATATATGACTAATTTAAATATATTTTAATTAAAAAACTGTTATATTAAAATTTTTAGGGTTAATGAAAAAACTTCAAGTTTTTTATATATTATATATTACATATAGATATAAAAAAAGATAGAAACAACAAAAACTTAAAGTAATTATACACCTAATTTATTTAAATATATATTTTATTTAAACATATATTTTATTTAAATATGTGTGTATTATTTTAACATGTTTTAACATTTGTTAGCTAAGCTTGTTTTGTTTATAAACTTAACTGTCTTATTGAACTGCTTTATGAGTTTAGACTAAAAGAGAGAGAAAATATTTTAGAATATGGGTCATCAGTATGTGACAATGAGCTTAGCGTGCTACAGATTTTGTAGATCATTTCATCAATGGCTTATGAGAGTTATTTGTATTAATGAAAAACTTTATTTAATAGTATTAGAGTTGAGCTAAACAACAGTAATAAATTTTAGGACCGTAGTTTATTTAATTTCATTTTACTATAACACCATAAAGGCTCTAACATAAAATGGCAGTTATTTTAATATTTTTATATATTATAAATATTTATAAACAAAAGATCTATATGTTCTTAATACAGTTAAGAGAAATGCAATTTCTGTGGTTATCAATTTTTATTTTATTCATTTTTACTTATTTAGATTTCATGGACTTTATGCTTAAAAATTTCATTTAAAGATTACTGAGTCAAGTATATATGTATATATTGTATATATACTAATGAAAAGTGAAAGTTATGAATTTAGTAGAAAACATGTACACATAATTTATATTATATATAGATTAAGTTTTTATTATAATTCCTTACTAAAATATAAAAAAAAAACACTAAATTACAATCATTTCTAATTTTGTCTTTATGTTATATTAATTTTTATTTTTTTAAATATTTTTTCCAATAATTGTTGCATTTAATATCACCTACAAACATTTTATTTAGGTTTCGATCATTTTTTACTTGAAACACTTAAGGCGCAGTTTTAAAAGAAAATTCAGTGTTATTATAAGTTGGTATATAAAAGTTATATTTTAATAGGCAAGTATATTGTTATATGTGGATATATATCATACATATGTAAAAAAAGAAAAATAAATAAAAAATAAAATAAAATTAAGGTAATGATGAAAATTTCGAATGTATATATATATATTGTTAGCTTTTTGTGGCAGTCAGTTTGGTTAACTAAATCAGTCCGACCCCACTGGTCCATTGTGATGCCACTGCTAAACATACAGGATATTAGAAATTAAATTACTTTGAAAGTTTGCTATAATAGAATTCAATAAGTATACAAATTTATAGAATCAAATCCAAACTTCATTTTGTTCTAATTGAAAGTTAAAAAATTCTCTCTAATACCTACCAATAAAAAATTTTTATCGATAACAGAGTTAGACAGAAAAATTTTAAATCGGATATATTAATTCTTTTTAAAAATTATACTTATAAACAATAGACCAAGTAATTTAAACAATTTCGAAGTAACGACTCAAAAATTAAAACAAAAATAAATTAGACCAAGTTTTTCTTTTAAAATTTTGCTTTGATCATATTAATTAATAATTAAAATAAATTTTTTTTTGTTACTATCATAGATAACTAAACTAAATGTTGTGTTTAGAGGTATCAACAAATTTTTTTCTTTATTTCTGCATTAAATGGATACCTCTGAGTTATCATGGTTTTAAAGTGTAAAAAATTATTTCAGCAAAGGCCAAGAGTTCATAATTCTTTTAAAAAATATAAAGTTAGAGATATACAGTGTGGAAAAATTAATAGCATGTTTTTTGAAATAACATATGTGCCTGTGTTTCTTTAACACTTTGAGATCAATTTTCATATGAAAATTTTTAACTTAAAATTTCAATAAATTTATAGATTAAAAGTTTGAGAAATTCTTTAACAGTGTATTGTTTGCGCCTACGATACATTTTGACCTTGCTCTGCATTAATGAAATATAAAAATAATTTTTATTATTATTGTTTCAAATTTTTTTTTATTATATTTTAATATTTAAATGCAATTTTATGTTCCACTATAAATAATAGTATTTTTTATTTCTGTTTTTTTTTTTGTTTTTTGTTTTGTTTTTGGCAACATTTAAAACCGTTTACTTTACTTAATGTTTGTATTTATCTTTAACGATTTTCTTTTTATGAGCACATTAAAATGTAAAAAAAATTAAAAATTTGTTACAGTATGATAATGTGAACAATGTTAAGTTAATATGTAAAGTATTATTATTAATCTTCACACTTTTCATCAGCATTTCATTTTATTTACTTGATAGTCACAAATAACAAATTTTTAATTTTAATATCTTTTTCAATATTATTTTTATATATGTAAATTTTATTATAATTACAATTATATGTTAAAAATTGTTCAAAAGGACATTCGCATATATACTAATTATTTTTGTAGTCATAATGAGTAGCTAATTAAAAGCTAAACTGTTGTTAAAATCTTAGTAAAACAACAATATATTTACTCTTAAGCTGGTGCTTGTTTCTTTGTAATTATATTTAAATGTTCATATTTTCAATTTACTCACAATTAATATTATCTTTTTAATTTCATTAAAAATTCACATTATGTTATATATATATTTATATAATATATACTATGCTAAAAACAACTTTAAAAAAGTGGAGCTTTCGGAGCTGTTACCAAGCACACTTGTAATTCACAAATGCTTTTTTCTGTCAATACAGTTTTACAATTACTTTTTTTTTCCATTTTAATTACTTAATCATATATCCTACTATATACCAATTTGAGTACATTTATGCTTAGTTGGTTTTATTCATGCGATATCAATTACTTTGGATTTTTTTTTTATAAATACACATATTTTAAATTAAAATATAATTTTAAAAAATCATTTTAAACTAAACAATTTCAATAAAAAAAATTAAACTTGCTATAATTTAAAAATTGACTTATATAGAAATTTAGAGTATATAAATTATTTTTAAACTCTCTCCTTTGGAAGAATTAAATTTCTTTACATATAAATGTACTGCCATTTTAAGCCTTTATTTTATAATAAATCACTTAAAATATAACAACCTAACAATAACTCCTCCTCATCTTCATACTTCTTTTCCTTCCTTACAATGATATAATTAAAATAATATTTACTTAGAAAATGAATACTAAATTTACTAATTGTAGTAAAAATTTTTAAATAAAAATATTTCATTTATTAAAAATAATACAAAACAATTAATTTCAAAATAAAAATACACACAAAATATTTTGGCCAATTTGCCAGCAAATGCAATTTTTAAATATTTTTTCTAATATTAAAAATACACATAATATAAAATTTAAAACTATAAACATATAAAAAACATTAATAAACTTAATTTACAGTCTCAATCTATGCATTTAACTTACTTCCCCTTTCATTGTAGTTTATATATTTTTTTATTTTTTCTGGATTCGATTAATTTTTATTATTTTTATTTCATTTCTGATTAAAGCCATTTTTACTTTCTGTGGGGAAAACCTGAAGTTTCTTACAATTTTCACAAAATTTTTTTTTACATATTCGTATTTTTTTTAATAGAAAGTTTAACATCCTAAAGTCTAAATTTCAAATAACGTTGGCTGTTTTCTTGTTGCTGGTTGCACTCGATTTCGGGTTTTTAAAATTTTAATACCAATTCATATCTTTTCACATTTACTGCTGCGTGCGTGAATTTCCTCAAACACATCTTAAAACTGAATTTCAATATAGAACACTTAGTCCTGCTCCGTAGCTCCAGGATAATAATATGGCGGTGGGCGTTCGTATTCAGATGCTGGTGGTGCCATCGGTGGATTTTGATAACGTGGTGGACCACCATCCCAGTGTCTATAGACAAAGAAAAAAGAAAAATAAAAATAAATATTAATAACAATATATAGAAACTGCTCTAAATAACAGAAAATGAAAGAGAAAATTTTGATAGTAGTAGTAGAAATAGAAAGGATATGTTATTTGTGGCAGTGTATACACAACACTGATGTATAAAAATGTGAACAATTAATTCACAATGAATTACAAACGGCTTTAACGAATATGTACAACATATAAAGAAACGTACATAGATTTTAGTTTACTAAACATAAGAGTTCACAACAATAAGACTTATAATTTATTTTTGTATATTTTATAATAAAATAAAATAAAATATGTTGTAAACTTGGTTATTTTTACAAGACCAGAAGTACATAGGTGTGTGTATTAAGAGAGAAAGAGAGAGATAGTTTGATTCATCAGCGTTCAAATATGGTTTCTAAGGTGTGACAGTTAATATAGTGTATTTGATTGCTGTGATTGATGTGTTAGTAAGCAGCGTTCTAAAGCATAGTTAGTATATTTAATTATTTAAAAATAAAAATAATAAATAACGAATTTATTGCTTACACTAAATTTGCTAATATATATTTTTAAATGATAATAATTAATATTACAATACTTCACGATAGAACCTTGTTTTAAAATGATCTACCTAAAGTATCCGGATTTTGTTGTTTGTTAACTACTTCTTAAGTAATAGACATTTTTCAAAAAATTTTTTGTTATGTTGGGAACCCCTTTCTTGATATATGGTACAAATTTGAGCGCCATCTATCAATTAGTTTGTTTACAGCAGCTGTTAATGTGAGACTACCTTAAGTGCATTTAGCGATTTTTACTATGGAAAATTTTTGTTGTACGCGATTTTTTGACCAAACACGGCATCAGTCATCGCTCAGGCACTATATTCGCCAGATCTGGATCCGTGCTACTTTTTCCTGTTCCCGAAACTCAAATTGCCCCTTCGTGGTAAGCGTTTTGAGTCGATTGAATCGGTAAAAGAATATTCGCTGAAGGAACAAAAAGCCATACCTTCACGGGCCTACGAAAAGTGTATGGAAGATTGGATTAAGCGTCGCTTCAGAAGGAGCATATTTTGAAGGCGATAAAAAAAAATTAGGATAAAATTTAAATTTGTGTGTTTTATTTACAAAATCCGGGTACTTTTTGAGCAGAAGGTAAATAATAGTAACATATATGCATATTATATAAAGTTAGGTTCAACTAATTAGGAACGATTCACTCAAAATTGAATGGTTATCTGATAATTTCATCAACGTCTTAAATTGGTCGACCTATCGTTCTAACTTTAATAGAAAACTTTTAACAATACCTTAAATTGTAATAAATTTAATAGAGATATCTAGAAAAATGGAATACAGCTTCCAGAAATGTGTTCCAATATTTTGTGACCTCAATTTCTCTCAAATTGCAGCAAGTTCTTATTCAAAACCATGGCTTCGCCATAAAATATTAATTTTTTTTAATATATACTTTTGAATTTTAAAATTTTTTGAAAATGTTTCTAATTAATTGAACGGTCGTTTTTTTGTGTTTAACCCCATATGAATTTTAAATAATAGTTTTGAGAACCTTGAATTACAATAAAATGTTTAACTATATGTATAAAAATAATTTATAATTTATTTTGTTACAGTTGTTGCTTTTCTTTCGCAAATATTTCATACAAAAACATAAACTTATATATCTAAGCTACTTATTATTAAAAATTAGACAAAGATAACTATATATTATTAGATAATAAAATTATATTATTATTGGATATTAGAATTATTAGATATATTATACATTAATGCAATGTTTCTAATTAATTATTTTTATAATAAAAATTTAATTTTATGTTCGCTAAATTTTTATTAATTATTTGTTAGTGATCATATCGTATAAGCTATAATGATAGATAAACTCAATCAACTGGTGGAAATTGACACCATCATCAAGCACATAAAAAGACAACGCTTGAAAAGGAAAGGACACGTTCTGTGGATGCCAGAAGAGCAGCAGCCAGACCAGCAGAAGATTGAAGTTAGAACAACGAGAAAAAAGTAAGATAGAGAGAGAGAGGAAGTGACAGTGTTCGACAAGAGCTGAGAGATATAAATGTAATCAACTAGAAGTTAAAAGCCAAAAATAGAAAACAATGAAGGAATGTCATAAAACAAGTTAAGGTCCTACATGGAGTGTATAGCTATTGATGATGATTTGTTAGTGAGAAATTTATTTATAATTATTGATATTATAATACTAATAAATTGTGATAAATAATATTCTTTTAAATAAAAATATTTTAAGATATATTGTTTTACTCGAAGATTAAATTATTCGAACTGATCGAAGCTTGTTTCAGTTGTCATCGCTTAGCAAAATCTGTGGAGCAGTAAAGATAAAACAATAGCAGAAGAATATGTTGATTCCAATGGGTATTAAAGGAGGAATATGAGTGTGAATAGGGTAGTAATTAAACCTAGTCTGGACCAAAGTAGATGAACCTCACAATTTCAACGAGACACAATTATTAATCAATGGGACTCAAAATTATGTGTTGTGACATATAAACTGATGTACGAAATCAAGAGGAATGGAGTAAGTTGCAGTTTAAGCACATGTTGACATTAAACATACTTTAAACAAAGTGAAAAGTATCTATTTGGTATGTAATTAGCCAGAATTGAACAATTGCTGTTCAGGCTGCAAGATAAAAGCGAGATGACAGGTGGAGGCGTGTTCAGAATACAAACGTGGTCTTAAAGAAAACACAGCTTTGATATGTAACACACTTATCTTTTGTTATTACTAGACCTTGCTGATATTGTATCTTTTGGAAAAGATATCAATGAATTAAGAATATGAGGTAAGAGGTCAACTCATGTAACACATAAGAGGAGAACTCTATTCATCATGGTCCCAATGGATAACACATTAATGTGCCACACAAGGTAAAATTTATTTCACAGCAGTTGATTATATTCTTTTACAAAAATTATTTTAGATCGAGGTTTCAAGAATTTTACTGCTTATGCTAGCTGTGGTCAAATATGCGAGACACTAAAAATTTTTGGCCACCATATTGTATTCGAATATAACCTGTTATAAGTATCTTTATATAAAACTGAGCAATCTGATATACTCGAAATTTTTTTATTTAAATTGGTGGATTCAAATGGTCGAAATCGATATATTCGTGGTGATTCAATATAATAATGTTCGAACAGTACCAGTTCAGATTATTGCTTATTAATATCCTAGGAACACTTCTGTTATTAAATACTAGACAAAGATAGAGGAAATGCTAAAATTACATATCAATAATGTTTATATCGAAATCATACAAATTATAAATAAATTTAAATTTTTGTTATAATTTTTAGTAAAATAAAATTACAATAAACATACTGTGATAAAATTATTGCTGTAAAATGTAAAATATAGTATAATACTTGTATATATATATTATTTAAAAAAATTCGATATAAATTCTATACTTTATTTTATTTATTATATTTTGTTTTTTTATTCATTTTGTTTTTTTATTTTTCTATTAAATTTTCTTTATATTAAACCTAATAAAGATGTCTTTTCTAAGCAGTACGTATTTTTTGAACACCCAAATAGTTGTGTAGCAGAAGCATTGAAAGTGCAAAAATCGAATTGCATATATGTGGTATCTCATTTTTTTTTACAATGTCTTCGAATTATTTTATTAATATTTATTATATGTTTTTAGATGAATGTTACAAACAAAAAAAAAAAAGAAAAAATGCAGTCATATGACACGAAATGGTTAACACATTATGATTTTCACTAGTTGTTGATGTTTCAATGAAGTAGTATTCGAAAAAAACAATATAAGCCAGAGTTAAATGTATGACGAAATGTTTGACTACAAGCACAAAATATTAAATTATTATTTTTAAAAATAAAAAACTTATACTCTCACTAATGTCTGCAGTAGTGGTAAATAGGCATCCTTAAAATTAATAAATGGCTTTGAAGTAGCTTTACTTAGTTACACATTATGGCACCAACTCTGTATGCACTTTTGTTTAGTAATTGCCTTGCTTTGGCATTTGACACAATTGGGAAGTTTGGTTAACACTTGTTATTGGTGTCGTAAATATATAGTTTTAACAATTATAACGCTTGGAAAAATAATGTAATGAGTTATATTATATTTTTGGGTTAAAGAAGTAAATGTTTAGTAATGTAAAGCACACGCACACATCATCACAGGTAGATAATTTATACCTAAAAGAAACCATCTGCCGTCAGTGCTTTTGGCCTTGTATCAATAGCCCCAACAATAGCTCTAAAGAAATTTAAGAAATATAAATTAAAAATAAAAATATAAATTGTATTATGTTGATTTCCTTTTAACACAGTTTAATATTTTTAAATGAAATTTCGATATATATTAAGTGTTGTTAGAATACCAATATGAGCTTGAACATCTTAAAACATTATTTAGTTTATTTATGTTAAAAATATAGTATATAATTATGGAGTAAATAAATTCTAAGCATTCCAAGAAGACGTTTAAATGCTACCCAAAAATATTTAATTATAATATAATTAGACAAATTAGACAAAGACTTAAATAAAGTTTTGTAAAAACTTTATATCAAAATGCAAAAATTACTATAAAAAAATATATCTATAAAAATTCAAGGCAAAAAGCAAATATCGAAATAACAAGGAATTATACTTACTTGGGCGCCATATCATTGTAACGTGTATCACGTACACCAGACGCCGTGGATGGTGCTCCATGCCCACCAGAACCTACAGTTTCTTCATAGTATTCTCGTCTGCGACGATCTTTATTCTTTCGTCGTTTATTTTTGGGTCCGCTATAAGAAAGCAGGGATATAATGAAGATTTGCAATGAAATGTTTTAAAATGATTGTGTAAAAAATTAAGTAAATACATAAATAAATATAATAATAATAAACCTAAAATAACTAAACAAAATATAACAGTACACATAAAAAATTTTAAATTAATCATTTTCTAAAATATATAAAAATAATGCAAATAAAAAATAATAAAAAAAAAGAAAAAGTAATATAGTAAAACAAAAATAATGTAAATAAAAACTAAATAAAAATAATATATAACAATAATATTTAAAAATAATAAATAAATACTTTGAAATATTAAAAAAAAAATTAAATTTAGTATTAACTAATAAGACTAAAAATTTTAAAGATTTAAATAGTTACAAGCATTATAATCATTCCAATTAAATTCTTAGTGAAATATGTATTAAATATAAAATAAAATGAAAAATTTAATTTTTTTGTGGTTCATTATTTTAAAAAACATAGTTTACGAGTGTGTCGAAGAAAAAATTTAAAACAAGCCGTGAATTGTTTTTTAGGTGCAGCCTAAAACTATACTTTAGTAATTTTTTTTTGATTTAAAAAAAATTTAAATGGTATGTAAAAATAGTATGTATTATCATAATTTTGTTTATAATATGTTATAAAATCAACAGTGTCAGTTCATATAAAGCTTGTAATTATTCATAAAGAAAAAATGAAAAGAAGTTTAATGAAACCAAAATGAAGACTTACTTTGCCAATGGAATATGATCACGCTCACTGTAAGCATCATACAAATACTCCCTGAAAATTATTTTATTTTTAGTAAATCAAGAAAAACTTTAACTTGAACAAATACAACGAATTAAATACAACTAATTAAATACAAAAAAATACATACAAAATCTTGAAAACATACACTGTTTCTCTAACAAACAAACATGTATAAAAAAACGATTTTTAAACATCAAGTTAATTAAATGACAGATAATAGAAAGCTAAAACCTACGTGGAAAATTTAATCATATAAATAATTTATATTTTTTATATAAATTGTTTCCTTTTTCATTAATATATATATATGTAGAAAAATACACATTTTTCATTGTTAATAATTTCTGAAAAAATTTTTCAAATCTATAGTTTTTGTTTCTTTAACATTATTATATTGATAAGTAAAGCTACCTCTCAGATATTTTTATTTATTTTTAAGTAATAATTTCATATTAATATTTCACCTAATTTTCTAAATCCAATATCGAATACAATTATTTTAAAATAATAATAATATTATAATATATTATAAAATTGTTTCTATAGTTTTCTAAATTTTATAATAATAAATATTAATAATTTATTTTATTACTCTTTTATTTACTTATTTAACTGTTTATTTTAATTGATTTTCATTTTTTGATTTAATATTATAATTTATAAAATTATTTTATGTTATATATTATTTTGAAATAGAAATAAAAATTATTACTAATTATTGGATGCTGATAATAGTTTGAAGAATATTGGGATGCAACAATGAAAACTTTAAAAATCAAAAACAATGAAAGAAAAAAATTAGAAGATGCAAGGAAAGTGTAACAAACTTATTAAAAAAAACTACCAAGCTGTTATGTGAAATTTAAAGTAAATAACTATTATATATATAGTATATATGACAATATATAGTACTTACGACTCTACTAAGGGTCCAGGATAGGGGTCTGATTTTTGATATAAGCTTGCCAATTTAACAGCTACAATAAGGGTTGGCAAGAAAAGCACAACACATACTATAACACCAGCCCAGAAACCATTCTGTAATAAATTGTTTAATTATTTACTATACATATAATTTTAAAAATTTTAAGAATTTACCCATGGATCTACAATACGATTGCAAGCAGCAACAACACCCGCATCATACACTCGTGCTAATGGTTCACACAATCCAATCTTATTTTCTACAGAATCCACAACCATGCCTAAGAAGCGTACAATTTCACTAGAGAAATAATTAACTAAACTTTCAGCAGTTTCCTTAACAAACTGTCTACCATCCTTTGCAATAAATATTTGTGCACGATCAATTTCATTTACTAATAATGGTATTGATTCTTGGAATGAATGCTCCTTATAACGTAATATTTTATCTAAATCACGTGCTAAATTAATTAACTGGGATGACTGGTTTTTCATGGGTATAACAAGATTTTGCTCATATGTCTCAAGATGTAATGCTTGATTGCGCAGACTCACTTGTACATCTTTCATTTCACTACTAGTGATACGTGATGCAGTTTGTCGCAATTTTTCAGAAATCTCGGTAAGGGAATGTTTAGTTATGGTATCGTTTAGGTTATCAATAAATTGGCCTGAATCGAAGTATTTGATCGCCGAGTTGCCCATTTGAAGAATACGTTCTTTATCCGCATCACTAAGTATTTCTATATTCTCATTATCAAAATCAATGCCATTTACGAGATTATCAAGAGTTTGATTAATTTTATATTGTGCAGGATATTCATTTATTTCTTGAATATCTATACGATTTTGTATACGCAAAACCTCAAAAACGGTATTATTCGCCTTACAGGATGTTATAGCATGCGATATACGGAATGGTGGTAAAGTTCCTGAAGCAGCCTTGCCATTGCCTTGTGAAGGATATAGTACATTATTCAAATCAATTGAATTATCCAATAGTGCAAAAATTTCATCGTTTTGTGGATCCCTGAAAATAGTTTGAATTAATGATTGAATTATAATTTCGATAAGTAATGTAATTATAAACCTACTTCAATGGTACACACACTCCTCGATATGCAACTAAACCTAAAATAAAATGTACTAGACAAACCAAAGCAATAGCAGATAATGTCAAGAAAATTAATGCCACAGCGCTGCAATAAAAAGGTCACAGTTAAAAGATCACATCAATTAAAATGAATAAATACTTCGCACTTACATCATGAGGAAGCGTGATCCGGAGCCTTTATTGCAACAATCATCACCATAACCGTCAGGCCGTTTACCACAAATACCACATAGTAACGCCATTACTAAACAAATAAGTATCTAATAATTAGAAAAAATATAATTTAATTAAACAATTCATACTCCTATAGTTATCAATTAATTTACCAACAACAAAACTGTGCAAACTCCTATGCCAATATAGAACCGATATGGTCCATATTCATTAAGATAGTCATCTGCAACTCCAGTGTATTTGTCAGTTTTAGTACCAATTAAATTAGAAATCTTTTTCAATTCAGTTTTAATATCATTAGAAGCCTTCTGGAAGCTTTGACCTGTAAACCATATATATTATATACATTTTTTAATACATTATTATTTTTTATTAACAAATTGCTACACTTACCAGCTTTGTTAATTGCCTGTATAATTTGTGGTGTGTGTTTAGCGATTGTTTCATTCAAATGCTTACGCATGTTGTCCAGAGCAGTTCGTCCGCGATTGCCTGCAGCGGCAATGTTGTCATTTATTAATTGTTCCAAATTTTCAATTATTTCGGTAACATCAGGTAACTATGAAAATAAAAATATTTAATTAATTTCATATTAACAAAAATATTAAATTAATATTTATTTTGTATGAATGTTTATGAGAAGTGTTGCATATTCAGCATCTCGTGATCTTAATGCTGAGTTACTAAATTACTTTGATGTTATAGAAATAATAAAGGAGCTTTTCAACATATACTACTGTAGTAAATATTATTAAATAAAATAAATTTCTATTTTGTTGTTAGTGATGCATTTCTTAAGTTAGAATATATTTAATTTATTGGCTCATCTTATTTAAATAACAACAAATAAAACAAAATAACAGTTTAATCTTTTCGTTTGAGTTTTATTTGATGTTTTCCGATGTTTTACTAATTTTTTTGTATTGTTATAACCCGTGATATTTGATCGTTTATATGGATAATAAAAGTGGTGTGGTAGTTGTAGTTGTTGTAACCTGAAAGGACCCTTAGCGCAGAAAACATAAATGGATTTCAAAAACGAATATATAGGTTATGGTGGAGTGTAAGAATAATTAAGAGGAGTTAGGGGTGTTATATAGGAATAGGGGAAGGATGTAGATGTGTAAGCAGCCGGGTCTATTTCTCGTAGTTACTGGTAGTACTCGTCTATGCAGATGACTAAGCTTGACTCGATCTTTCCAACAGGGACAAGGGACAATATCTTCGCTACTTCACAAACGCATGGTAATAACTTCTAAAAGTTGCGCCTTGTCATACAAGCCGAAGGCTTTAACGTTGGTGTTAAATAATCTTTTTATGTACAGAGAAATGTCAAATAATCTTCGCGTTTTATGAAGAGTTCGAATGGCTTCCTAAATTTCTATAAATCTGTCTTATTGACAGCCGCCCCCATTTGAAATCTAGGTACCTAAGTAACAAAATTAAAAACATGTTCAATGATTAAGTTTCCTAGTCTGGAAAAGAAATTCGCATTATACCATACATTATACTGTAAATGCATAACGCATATTAAAATAATCATACAGATAATGGGATATAGTGTAACGTATATAGCTGAGGAAATAGGTAAGTATTATAAATCTACGTTTGTGCTCAGATGATAATTTTATGTACCTGAACAGAGCGAATCATAATCGAATTTGACTTCGATTCTGCTGCTGAATTTATCTGAATAGAGATAAATTCGAACCTATCAAGGGATTCTTTTTACAGACCACGTTTAGCAGTCGAAGATAGTAAGGTTTCCACAAAATTCAAGCACGTCTTAATAAAAGCTTAAATCCTCAAAATTATATCTAATTTAATTTAAGTAGAGTGATTAAAAATTAGGAATTATCTAACTATTTAAGTATGCAGTAAATAGAATAACATAAATCTCTTTGTATGATTTACGTGAATAAAAATTGACGAAATTTATTTTATCATCATTTGTTCCCGTATAAATAAATTATTTATCTTGGATGGTAAATTGATTTTTGAGGTGACATTACATTTAAGCTGTAAAAAATTATTTTTAGCAACACTTCTACTAAATGAAAGTTGTTAATATGCTGTGATATGAATAATAAATAAACAAATAAGTATCTAAATATATTTCAAACACACTTTTTCTTTTATTTATAACAAAATATTAAATAACATTTTATTCTTTTTTCTTTTTAATAAAATACTTTGTTATAACATACCTTTGGAAAGTATCTGTCTACCATCTTCATGCAGCATGATAAATAAATTTTTAATAAATGCATTAAATGAATCAATAAAATGCTTACAGAATATTTAATATATAAACCATAAATTTATATTTATATATACGTATTTGTAAATAACTTAATTTACTGCCTACCTGATCATAATGTATGCCATTTGCATCCAATTTGCCAATTTCGTATTTGGTTAAAACTTCCTGGCAGGCTTCTTGATTACATTTAGTGAGCATAAGAAGCAAGTCACGTTTAACACCGCGTAAACCTTTAAAGAGAATTATTTATTTGACAAATTTAATTACTTTTAATTATTTTCAAAACTAACCGTCACTCAGTTGAGAGGCATAAACACGCAGTTCATTTGTTATTGTCTTCATATGCTGCAGCTTATCTCGTAGTTCTGGTAACTTCGCTAGAAAATCTGTCAGATATTGCAACGAGACCGCCATAGACTTTCGTTCTAACTGTGTTATAATAAATGAAGACGTTTCTGAAACGATGAAAAAAAATAATAAATATTAAAATAATATATATAAAATTTATATCTAATGTCTAAAATTATAATAGTAAATCGCAATGACATATAGCTGTAGTTTATGCGTTCATTTTAACATAACACAGCAAGTGAAATTCATAAAACTCTTAGTTTGAATAAAATAAATCAAGTACTATTTTCAACAAATTTAACAGCGATATACGCTGTTAAACCCTTGGTAATTGTAGTCTAAAAACTATTCGAAAACGACAAAATATTAAAAAAAAAATATTTCCAAAGGCCCACTAATAATGTTTATTTGGCAATGTCCAAAACAGGTATCATATTTTTCAATATTTTTCGATTGAAAAATAAAATGTTGTTGTAATTCACTATTATTTAACACTTTTCTATTTACAAATAAATCTTCGTCGTGTTAACATATTAAATAAATTTAATAAGAATGCAGTTTAGTGCATAAAATTTACCCCTTAAAATGTTTTCGAGTTGATCCGAGAGTTGTTTATAGTTAGTAACCAAGATATGATCAATTTGTTCTGAGGTGACACCAAGGAATTTTTGTGTATCAGCACTACCAGCTCGTACCGCATCAGTGCCGCTGTCAACGCCCATTTGCATGTAGCTATTGGTAGCGAATGCAATAATAACTCCAAAACTACGAAGCAGAAAAGTAAAGAAGGGGAAAAACATATAGTTACAAATTAGTTAAAAGCTCAAAATAAACTGATATTCCTGGTAAATTCAATATGAAAGCGGATATGTGTTACATTGATTTACTCACACAATGCCTGTGGCTAACAGTATGAGCAGGAAACCGAGAAATACACGTCGACAAGTATCATGTTTTTTATCAAACGGCTCCGAACGTCCACCGCAAGCACCAGCACAACGGCAGCAGCAAAAGCATAATCTAAAAAATAAATACGTAGTAAGGATGATAAAAACAATGTTTATAAAAGGAAAATGAAAAAAAAATGTTTAATATTGGTAACAGGGGCAACATGACTTACCCAATAATTGGCATCGATATGACCAGCAAACCCACAATCAAAACAACCAGCAAAATAATCCAATAATGTTTAATTAAATCTCCCCATTCGTTTCGTTCAACTTTTGGACCAAGTTCTGGCTTCATAT